CCGAAGCCAACTGGCCAGCCTGTCGCGCATGCGCATAGCAGTCGAACCTGAGTCGAGCTTCTTGTGAATAGTTCGACTGCTATGCGCATGCGCGACAGGCTAGCCAGTTGGCTTCGGATTAAATGGTGATGGCCAGGGGATGAATAGGGCAACACTGATTGGTTATTTCAATTAATATAGTAAAAAAATTAAGTTATTAACTTCTTCAGCGATTAAAATTAGTTTCTTTTAATTGCAACGGCTCATAAAATTAAAATAACCCTTTGCATAATTTTTTTTTTTTCCAAACCTAGACATGCTTGTATCAGGGTCTGGTCACACTGTCCACAAAGTCGGACCGGTCGATTCTGGTTAAAAGGTCGAAGGTTCGTCGAACCCCGAAAGCTCGACCTAAAAATCCAGTTCGCCAAAAGTTCGCGACATACCTAATACAGACGCAATGCCCAAACTGCATCGCACTGATTCGCTCCAATCAAAGGAAACCATCCGGAAACACTATTTCACTCGGAAGCAGATACACAGACGGGGCGCTGACGCAACCAACCTTTTGGCGAATATGTGCTGCCACCTAGACACGCTACTGGGTTCGAGACTAAGTGGCCAGAAAACAACGTGCGCGCAAGGCCTCTCCTACCCGTTCGACACCCAAAACGTCGGCCACATCCTGTTCGCCCATTGAGCCGCTGTGACCGAGATGCGGCTCCCCCAAACTCGCGTTTGTCCCCGTCGTGGGTTATTTTCTGCCCCAAAGTCGATACGAAGAAACCGTCTTCCCTCTCTGCTCGGCCAGAAGAGAGAGAGAGAAGGTACTAGAACCATTTACTCTCGAACCGATGTTTCCACAAAAGGTACATTGCTTTCTTCCTTTCTTTTTTATGTAGAATCCCTCTATAATCTCTCTTTCCGTTTTGTCTTTTGCCTTTCTTGAAAACTTTTTGGAAGTCAGGTCAGGTTCACACGTGCATCGCCTACATTGGTCAGCGAGATGGCCCCCCGCGTTGTTGCGCACACACAGATTGTGCTCTCGTGCTCTATCATTAGAGCAGCGCCGTCCGCCCAATGTAGGCACTGCCACAACTGAACGGAATCTCGTACACCACGTTGGTGACACACGCACAGTGGCGTACCAACTTGTTTTTGAGTGGGGGGCAAACCAGACACCCCCCCCCCCCCTCCCCCCTGGGCCGGGGGGGGGGGGGGGGGAGGGCGGTGCCCTTGGTATCCCTTGTGCCCCGCCGGCTAGTGTTTGCCCTGCCAAGTGGCGGCTGCTTCAGGGAGGGCAAAACACATGCCTTGCCGCCCCCCCCCCCCTCCCACACACACACCCTGAGAACTGGGGGGGGGGGGGGCAAGGTGCACCCCCAGTTTCAGAGTTTCAAGGAACGAGTCTTCCATTGGCCGCTGCACGTCAGTTTCAACGACTGCCACTGCGTGTCCGCGCCGCCAGCGCGCCAATGACACGAAGTGTCCAAGGTCAGAGCGGCGAGGAGAGCGCGCGCTCGGCCGTCGACGCAAATACGCCGCAGACGAAAGAAGGGAGCGGAAGAACGACATTGATGCTTTAGCATTTACAACTCATGAGAAATGCTTAGGTGTACCTCGAGCCTTTTTCTTACCCCGAGCATAAAAGATAAAGGGGCCAGAATGACCCATCTCTTGTCATTCTCGCCATAGCTCACTCCCGAATCTTCTAAGTTGAATTTTTGAGATACCGAGTGAGTAGATAAGGAGTCGAGCGCGGTCTTGTCGATTCATTCAATCTCACTCTATACACGTTTGCAAGTCCGGCTTCAGGGCGCTGCCATCTTGCCTGTCTGGGGTGCGCTTGGACCAGTCATAATCCGATTACGAAGCCTTGCTAAGGCGTCGTAATCGGATTATGGCCGCTCCCGAGAGCGCACCCCACTGAGGAAGATGGCGGCGCCCTGAGACCGGACTTGCAAACGTGTACAGACTATTCCATTTAGCGCTCTCTGGGCGGCACCATTTTGTTCGACCTCACCGCCCTCTCCACACATCCGGGAAGTTCAGCGGGTTCGGCGGGGTAAAACGACAGCGAGGGCACGCGCCCGACTCCGCTAGCAGACGAAAAAAAAGGGAAATTGCCATTCTTCATCTTTGGGCTGTTTCGGCGGGCTCTACCGAACATCGAACTCTCGCTCGTGGCTGCCGTTGTGAAGTGGTTCGCGTTCTTAGAATAGTTGTGGCTACTCCAAAATCAGCCTATAGCTCTCTGTTCTATTTTGCTAAATGATCAACTAGCATATCTTTTTTTCGTTACTTAAATAGCAGTTGAGTCAGCCGGCAGTACTACCCTCAACTACTGCTTGTATCGCGGCTGGAGAGCACGTTTTATTTATTATTTCAGACTTCCACTCATGGTCGCTAAAGGCCTACACCAGTACGAACTTTTGTATAGCAAAAAAGGTACAGCAACCGGATTTACTTTTCGCCAAAGAGACCGGCCAATCTGACACAGTTTTCCCCTATTTTTTTTTTTTTTATTTGCGCGCAGGTAACAGCGCAATCGGATCCTGTGAGTCTTTTTATCTAGCATAATATTACACGGCAACTGGCATACCAAAATCTGCGCATCTGCGCTTGAAAGTTCCAAAATGACGCGATTTTAAACAGTTTGCACGCCAGCCGGACGCTAGCTACAGCCACTCGGCGGAGCGGACGACATACGGGATGAGAGGGGGAGTGCATTTTTTTTTCTCTTTTACCCTCTCTGCTATGACCCTAATTGAACCGTCTATAGACCTTTTCTGTGTACTCTCGTCTCCAGCCACCTAATAGGCGTATCCGGTATGGGCGACGAAAAAATAATCCAACGTTTCAACCTGCAAATAGTAAAAGAATAAAGGGGAGGCAAACAGAGAAAGTGTGACGGTTACACTTATATGCCAAATGCCTTCTATTGGCGTGGCAAAGGCAAAACAATGTTTTCGCCCATACTGGAAGTGACGTCAATTCAAGATGGCGGCGCACTTGCAGAAAAGGTCTATAGCCAGCTGTCACGCCGACGCATCGTCGCTCGCTGCTGCTTTCTCGACGCTCGTTCCTTCTTTTGTTTCTGGCACAAGTGCGCTGATTAAACCTTAATGTCCAGTTCATTATGGATCGTCTCTTCACCTTCATCCTTGACAGTATAATGGAATCTCTCAATATCATCTCACGAACTCTGTCATTTATTTATTTATTATTCGATACTATTATTCCAAACATTAAATATCATAGGAGTAGCACAATATTGAAACACTATATACAAGAGAAACTTGCAATGTAAGTGTAGTCCCCTGCCGAGACAATACGCTAAAAAAAAAGAAAGCTCAGCTACAGTGGACAGCAGTGTGTCGGCAACAGTTCACATAAAAAGCAGCACAACAATAACAATACATGGAAAAGGCTGTCCTGTCAAAGGTAACAAATTTGACGCAAAGGTAGCCTTGACAGTGAAACGCCTATTATAAAAATGAACATATTTATCCAGCTCAAAAGAGTTGCTCGAGAAACGTGGAAGCACTGGCACATTCAACTATATTTCTCGGCAGTTCCAATCGGACACAGTGCGGGGAAAATGAGTATTTAAAAGCATCTACTCGGGAGTGACATTTGATAATTGTTTTTAAGTGAGTGAGTGGAGTGTTTGTCCTTTTGGGAAAAAATATATTTAACTTGTGGCATGCTTATGATGCCATAGGGGTGTGCGGCGGCGGTTTCCTATTGCCGGTACTGCCTGCAGTCCTGCAGTTGAATTGCAAATTTTAAGTTTTTAGCGGGGTCTGCTTCGTAGAAACTAGCATTTTCATATTTTTATGCAGAGATCTGGTTTTAAATACTTCCGATGTACGTATGAGATTTGTTTGGTTGCTGTTGTGATACACTTTGTGTATGTGTGTATACAGATGTTTGCAATTAAAAAAATGTTAACATGGAATTACCTGAGCCATGTACAGTATGCATTATTTCCAGATAAATAAAATCAGCATTTGTTGTTATACAGGGTGTTTTTTTTTTAATTTTACATATATTTTTTAACATTGTGAAGGAATGAATGCGGTCCGTGCAGGTGAGTCAGGCACGCAGCCAGGTGGGAGAAGGGGAATGGGGGCGAGCCCCCCCCCCCCCCCCCCCCCCCCCTTCGCCCTTGACTTTCCATTTTGCTGGGGCATCCTCTCCCATCTCCCCATAATACAGCACTTTGTCATGGGCGTCCCCCCCCCCCCCCCCCCCCCGAATCAAAATCCTGGCTACGTACCTGAGGTGAGTTATATGGCCAGGTGTACCTAATACAAAGGGATAATCGTCAGGATAAGAAAGATAATTAACTAAAATTTGTTAACCTTTTTAATTACTGATGATTAAACGATCTGGTTCCAACCAGACACCAATTGCTAAGTTTAATCGAAAACCACAAAATAAGTGATTTTATAAAGGTTTGGGGGGGGGGGGGGGGGGGGGGGGGGGCGCGGGGAAAGAACTGTGGCCCGCTAAAAAGTTGCCGCTCGGGCAATAGGCGCAGTTTTTCCGTCTCATTCGCTTTTCCGCACGCCAGCATTGTGCTTTGAAGGGATGAGAAGCAAAATGAAATATTTTGATTCTCAAGACAAGCAGCTCTTAGACATTTCACGTTAAACAGTAGCAATTTCAAATTGTCCTATGACATTGTATCCTCGTCAAAAATACAAATTTACGGCGCCGCGCGATGCGCTTAAAATTCCCGCCACCTCGGGCTTTGGTGCAAGTTGCTCCTTCAAAAATATGGACATACATACATGCAATGATCTATATCAGTTGTGAGCCAACTTACATCTTAGTAAGTGCAGTACGTAAAAGTTTTAAATTTGCCATTTTGGTACTTTCCTGACGCACCATAAAATTATCCTTTATCGCCATTTGATATCCATCGCACTAGGTAATGCTAGGGACAACGTAGGGACAAACCGAACACATCTCCCTACCTTCAACTACCTCCCACTAGGGACACTGGCATAACGCTGGGGACTGCTGGGGACAGGCTGCAGTACACGTACTGCCGTGCCGGCGAAGGCTGCGATGTGTACGAGCAGTTCGGAAGTGCAATATCCTGTCATTAAGCACTAATTTACATACTCTGAGTTGATCAGCGGTCTCTCTTAACGGTGAATATTCGTGTTTGTAGAACTCTGAACAACTTGTGAAGAGTGAACAGCCCCGGTAAATCGAGACAACGATTTGTTTACACAAACGGCTGGGGTGACGACGACGCCCACCTTGGGAAGAACGTTTAGTAATCGCCGCTAAAGCTTTCAGGTGTGTACATGGAGATTTTGCTCGATCGGTTCTACAAAACAGGCTCTTTTGGAGGCGATAGTATGATGCCAAGCAGCGAGCGACCTATCGCATACGTTGGAATTTGATAGTCGAGATGACAAACAGAAAACGATCCTATACAACGTGACACAAGGGACCCTTTCTCCTTTTTTTTTTTCTTCGGTTTTTACGGTTTGAAGATCGCACACTGTAGGTGTGTTGCCTGTGCACTGTGTGGCCTATCGTCATTACGATAGTGTTGGGTAAAGTACGGCGTGGGCGAAATTAATTGAACGCACTTTAAAGCGACCGCACAAATCGGTTTCCTAACTTGTCGCGCTGGGACTTACCACAGAGGTGCCTGAAGTTGGTGGAAGTTTTCGATAAAATTGTGGAAAGCTATGCTCACCTGAGTAAATCAAGAACAATCAAACACTAAAAAAATATTGTGTGTTACAGTGGCGCTTATTTGTGCTAAATAAAGTGAAGAATAGGTAAGCCAATTCTATTTTCTTTCCATTTCACGTATTTTTCAATCGTAGTGAACGCCACAATAGCCCACAATGATTATTTGGTGATTTTGAGATAAATGGCTTAGAGATATTTTTTCGACGGACAGAATACGACATGGTGTTCCTCAAGGCTCCATTTTAGGCCCTCTATTATTCCTCGTGTACATTAATGACATTACGGCAATACCAGGTTCCTCAGAACTAATAATGTATGCAGACGACACAAATATATTCTTTGCTGGTGCGACGAAAAATTGCGTCGAGAAGTTGGCTAATGAATATCTCTCGAAATTATCAATATGGTTGCAAATAAATCGTCTACAATTAAATACAAAAAAAACTAAGTATATCATTTTTAAACAAGCAAATAAGCAAGACTATAGTTCCATTAACGTAATATACGAGGGCACAACATTGGAGCAGGTAGCAGAACAAAACATTTTGGGCGTCTGGTTTGCAGGATCCATCATGGAATTGCCATGTAAACAAACTGAAGGCTGATTTATCCCGGGTAACAGGATGCATTTATAGAATACAAAATTTGATACCGACCTGGTTAAAACACACATTGTATTATTCCTTATTCTACTCCAAAATTTGTTATGGTATTTTGGTCTGGGGAACGACGACGGCGGCGAATTATAATAAAATTATCCTTTTACAAAAAAAAAAAAAAATCTTACGAATGTGTGAAAATTATAAAGGGGATGCCAGAAATTTAAGAACACAACCACTCTTCATCAAATATAATATTCTTAAGGCAGATCAAATATATTACTTCAAACTTTTACTATGGATACATAAAAATAGACTTTACACCACACCAGCGAACAGCCTTAGTGCATATCCAATTAGAAATCCGAAGCGAAGGATGCCGGCCATAAGAACCAACTATGGTCAACAAACTTTCATTTTTCAAACAACTAAAACACTAAATAGAACGGACTTCGACATTAACTTTAACAACACGTTACCTGGTTTTAAAAGGGATTGTAGAAGTTTCCTGGTTGGCAGTGAAATCGCATTCTCATTTGGATAGTGTATTTCACCAAGAATACAATCACTAGGTATAGCTATAATTTCAAAGATTTGTTTTCATTGTATTCCTTCATGTGAACTTGCTTGTGATGCTGATATGCCGGAGGATTGCATTCTAGTTTGTTTTTTGTTACTGTTTCTTGTTACTGTTTTTGGTTTCTTACGACCAACACTCGTTTATAGAGTTTTTTTTTTGGCAAATGAATATAGTGTCTATTCTTCTTGTTTCTTTGACTTGTTTCTCTTGTTTTATTTTAACTGTATAATGTTTTGTAGAATTTGTTATTATGTAACTACTTTGAGCTGCTGGACTTTAGGGGGCAGAGGCTTTGTCAGGCACCACGCCTTTATCTCTGCCCCCTACGCGGAAAACCCGCGAAACAAGTAAAGAAAAAAAAAACAGTTTTTATTTTCTTTCTTTTGACTCCGGAGGTTTCATGCATTCATACCCTCAATGAATGCACCAGCTTCGAGCACTTCTGTAGTAAATCCCAGCGCGATAGGTTAGGAAGCCGATTTATGCAGTAAAGTACAAAGCAAATGAAATTATGTACTTCAAGTAAAGTAGTAAGCATCGGGGGCAATGTGTTTGAAGTGAAGTACAGGGACTTCCCGAGAAAAGAGAATTGTGTTTTTAGGCCCAGGTAAATAAACTAGGCATTTGCAGAATGCTTGAATTCCGTGAGAAAGCGACGCTAGCGGATGGGATAGAACGCGAAAGTTTGAGTACATGACCTTACCTGGATCAAAATTAATCGAGAAAATTAACTTTATCTATGAGCCGACGTCCATCCAAGCCTAATTTTGTCAAAACAAAAAAATGACATTGTGGGTGCCTGTAGCCTCTATTTTTAGTGAAAGAAACATAAAAAAAAAATAAAACAATATTATTTTTTTTTGCTGACAGGTGTTTTTTTACTGATATAATGCCCACGAGTGTCTACAATATAATTTTTTGTTTTGACGATCTGCTCATAGAGAGATATTGTTTTTCTCAATCATCTTTTAATCCAGGCAACGTCATCTTCTCAAACTTTCGCGTTGTATCCCAACCGCTAGTTTCACATTCTCACAGAGTTTGAGATTTCTGTGATGCATAGTTTATTTATCTGGGCCGAAAAACACGGTTTGTTTTTCTCGGGAACTCCCTGCACCATAAATGCAATGCACTGTCAAAGTAAAGTACAAGTGCTTCTTAAAGGGGCCCTCCGGAGCTTTCTGCGATCGTCTGTTTCTGTTGTTATATTGCGTAGTAGGCGCAAGTTAATATGTATACAAAGTTTTAGATTACAAAACCGTTTATTAAGCAGATGGCAGTAGAAATATCTCGGGACTATTTTCTCTTGGAAGACAATCCCCCATTCCCTGCCCATCGCTAAAGTTTGACCAATGGAAATTCTTCATCTCGCGGTGAATGCGAACGTTATTATTGCAACACTTTTTAAGCTCGTTGTAAATTAGAGTTTGAGAAAAACGTAGACTGATAGTGGTGCAGGAAACATAGTCCGCAATTATCGCTCCAAAACCAGCGAACTATGTTTTCTCCCCGCAAGCTTGTTGCTAGGGGGTGATGCGTCGGCGCGTCGGCTCGTCTGCTTCCCGGGGCGTCTGCAGGCGTGCGTTTGCGGGACACGTGTTCTTTCTTTTCGTGGATCCCGGCTCCTAAGCCAGCTTTGCGATCCTTCCACGTCAACGAGTCAAACTTTTCCTTGTCATCTGTGGAATGCGAATGCGTATTGCAGTAGCAGCGCGACGACTGTCGAGCACAAAGTCCGGGCCCCTTTACGACGGTCCGCGCGTGTTCGAGAGATTCCTCCGCGGGTCGGCGGTCGGCGGCGTTGGTGACCCGCAGTGACGCCGGTATCCTTCGCTTGCTATTGGCTGACGCGTAAAGAGATGCCCCTCCCGTTTTCCGCGGTCATCTCAGAAAGGGGGGCGTGCCGGGGACTTTGATAGCAATTTTAACAGGGAAATCCGCCGCGCATGACCGTAATTTTATGATTTTTAGGATCTTTAGGGCCTGTAGATTGAGTTACCGCCATAAATAGACCATCGCAGAACGCTCCGGAGGGCCCCTTTAACACAATCTTTCATCTCGCCATTTCATTCCCCTATACAAGGTTTTCTTTTTTAACTGGTGTGCATTTCTCCATGGTTAATCGGTAGTGATTCAGTTATTTTTATAAATGGTGGCAAATATTGGATAAAGTCAAGTGGCCATAGAGTCATTGTTTTACCCTCGCTGAAGAACTATACACAATCACCTTATAAGGTATTTATTTGTATAGGTGTTGCAGCCGCCATTACTTCACTCAAAGAGATGACCGGATGATGTCTCGAAAGAGAATAGCGCATTTTCACATGACGATAAGCCAATCTTTTTTCTTCAAATTTGGGGAATGCATTTTGAAGAGTTGTACCTCCATCGCTAAGTGCCTGAGAAAAAGATGCTTTCAGTAAAGTACAAGTACAGGGAATATACTACTTTCCAAACTGCATTACGAGCATGTCCGCATGCTTCCCCTTCACTCGATTGATTGCTGGATTACGAATTCAATCGATAGACGGCGTATGCAACATTTCTTTTTATCACTTCTAAGTAATTATAGAATATGATTCAAGTTTCAAGTGCTTCGCATTCGAGTTCCGGCTGGTACTATACACAGTTAGACTCCATATGTTGCACTGCATGTGGTACATTCTTTTAAACGGAAGAGTTTTGTCGATGGAGTCTGGAGGCTGGGATGTTTAAAGCTTGGGGAATGGGGAAGTTCTGACCCATAAGGCTCCCCCTTCCTGTCTACACCAATGCTTTCAGGATATGTGCAGCTCCCCATCAAAGTATATGCAATTCCTCTTCCAGACACATTGAAAAAGTATCTAAGATGGAGGCAAGTCTGAGCAATCACATCCTCAACTTCTCCATCGACCTATACAAGCGACTGAAACCCTCCGGCAAAGACACGGCAGGAAACGTCTTCTTCTCACCATTCAGTATTGCAGCTGCTCTGTCCATGGCCCTCGCAGGAGCTAGAGGCAACACTGCCATGCAAATCGCTGCCATCCTGCACTCAAACGACGACAAGATCCACAACCACTTCTCGAGCTTTCTTTGCAAGCTACCCAGTTACGCCCCAGATGTGGCCCTGCACATCGCCAATCGCATGTACTCTGAGCAGACCTTCCAACCGAAAGCGGAGTACACAACCCTGTTGCAGAAGTCTTACGACAGCACCATCAAGGCTGTTGACTTTGCAGGAAACGCAGACAGAGTCCGACAGGAGGTCAATGCCTGGGTCGAGGAAGTCACCAGGTCAAAGATCAGGGACCTGCTCGCTCCCGGAACTGTTGATGCATCGACATCACTTATATTGGTGAATGCCATTTACTTCAAAGGTCTGTGGGATTCTCAATTCAAGCCTAGTGCTACGCAGCCGAAAGATTTCCATTTGACGCCACATACCTCAAAGACAGTGGACATGATGCATCAGAAAGGGGACTTCAAAATGGGTCACTGCAGCGACCTCAAAGTCACTGCGCTTGAGATTCCCTACAAAGGCAACAAGATGTCAATGATCATCCTCCTGCCCGAAGACGTGGAGGGACTCTCAGTCCTGGAGGAACACTTGACCGCTCTGAAATTGTCGGCTCTGCTCGGCGGCATGATTGTGACGCCCGATGTCAACTTGCGCTTGCCGAAGTTCAAACTGGAACAGTCCATAGGTCTGAAGGACGTACTGATGGCGATGGGAGTCAAGGATTTCTTCACGTCCCTTGCGGATCTCTCTGGCATCAGCTCTACGGGGGATCTGTACGCTTCGGATGTCATCCACAAGGCTTTTGTGGAAGTTAATGAGGAGGGCACGGAGGCTGCAGCTGCCACCGCCGTACCCATGATGTTTGGTTGTGCGCTATTTCCAGAGGTGGTTAACTTTTTCGTTGACCACCCATTCATGTTCTTGATCCACAGCCATGATCCAGATGTTGTTCTCTTCATGGGATCCATCCGTGAACTCTAAAAAGCGTTGCTCTTAAAGGTGGCCAACCAGTCTGTGAGGTTATCTCTTAGTCACTACTGTGTAACAATTCTGCAATATTCAGCTTATGTATTTCGGTAACTTGCTAGATCTTTGTGTTGTTGATGTTAGGCTTCATGTAAGATGTGCATTAAAGTAGGGATGAGGACCAAAGCAAATAAACGGAGTTAAAGCCACGAAACAGTCACCAACAAGCATTGTGAGCTGGTGAAGAAGGCACAGTACAATATGAAGATGAACGAACTTAAAAGTACTTAGCAATGTTTCAGTTTTTATACATCGTTTATTCTTCTTGCTTCCTTGCTGCAAATTTTACTTGTCATGCAGAAAGCCCTCACTTTTGCTGAGCTGTTTCTATATAATTATGTGCTCAAATAACTAGATAAGTGAGCTAGCTGATGAGCTAGTTAAATTAATGTGAACAAACTGATGTCTTGTGTTCATGTGTATTCAATTTGCATGAATATGTGTGTTATCCAGTTCAGTGAAATTGTCGGGCAGTGCGACCATCTGAAGAAATATTTAAATAAATTTGTGGAAATTTATATACATCCTTGGTTGTGGCAGCACGGGGCAAGTTTGCCTACAAAAAGCTACACAAACATGCACTGTACACCCTGCTTTGAGCCACCTAAACTTTCATATGCAGGGACTTTTTATGTTGATATTTGCATGCTCACGGAGTATTTGTTGGGCCTGCAGTAGAGCATGTAATCAAAGTAGTGTGCATTGTTAATCACCAAATAGTGGTAACAGAATGCCGTACTGTGATGTCCTGCTACCAGGACCAATTTTAAATATGATCCCCTGATTGCTGAATCTAGGGATATCTGCTCAATGAGACCGCATTTTGCAGAATTTTTACGCGAATATAAAGTCATGACACCAAAGGTGCTATTTTAAGCTGCTAACTAGCAATATGTGCCAGTGTTCTTTTTCTTCTTGTATTTCCGTTGAACATTTAGATGTTATTCCTATTTGCAGCAATTATATTGCACAAATGCACCTGCACAGATCTTTTGAGCTGAAACACAAATATAGCTAGGGAGCTGCTATGTGTAGAACTAGAAACTGTTATTTTTGTTTTGTTTTGTTTTAATATTTCGGTGCATGGTTCTGTTTTGATAACAGCTGATCCATAAAAAAAAGCATGCCGGAAAAAGGTAAATAAATGCTCACTTAATGCACAGGAATGCGCAATATCCGTGCAATTGTATGGCCCGCAGTGGCGTCACAAAAGGGGGGGGGGGGGGGGGGGGGGGCTGGGGCTGGCTGCAGGCAGACCGTCCTGGGTGCAGCTGGGCAGTGAAAGGGATGTGTGTTGTCGCGGCAGCCCGCCGCTCCGGGTGCCGCTGACCCTAGTGACGCCACTGATGGCCCGACCATCAGTGGCGGGGTTCAAGATTTGTGTGGCTTGCTACTGTGATACATGTATTTCTTTGTGTACAAATGTCTGCAACAAATGCGAATGTCGGACAGCCTCACTCCTGTATGATTTATTTTTAAATAAACAAACTGTCTTTGTTAGTTCCATTGTGCATCTGGAGAGAATGATCTCTGATGGATGAGCATGTGGTCTTGGAAAGAAAAAAAAAAGAAAAAAACAAACATAGAGTGGTATCTGATTAACGTTTGAATGGTCTTAGCAGTGTAGAGGTTATAAAGCTATAGCCTAACCTTCGCTTACTCATCCCTTTATAAACTTACGGCCCTGTTCCCTCATCAATGTAGAGGTCGCAAGTGGCGCCCCCTCACCAGGGCCCCCCTCACGCCCCGTTATTCGCTCAAGCGTCGATTCGCTCAAATGTCACGGTTCGCTAAAACGTCATGCGATATGGACCGGTTTTCAAACTGGCGCTGTCTGCTACATACGAGCGCGCTCCTTTCTTTGAGATGCGTTCGTTTCGCTTGAGCACGTCTCAAGGCCATTTGGTAGAGAAAAGAAGGAGAGGGCATTAACACGTTGGGTTTGGGCTAGTTGGTCCATACTGGATCAGTATGGACTGTATCTTCCTTGTCCTCATTTTGTTTCAGCTTTTAACTTTTTCTTCGAGAAGAGGGCACGCGTGCCCGCACCTTTGACTGCTCTGCCAAAAAGTTGATGCGATCATTTGTACGGTCCCACCCACAAAACAATATCGAACTCCGATATCCGGACCAACGTTTATAAAACTCTACAGGTTTTCCCGCTCATTTTAATCCAAGCGACGATCAATTTAATCCCGGGGTCACTCAATTTAATCCCAGTGCCATACAATTTAATCCAAGCGCCAAACAATTTAATCCTGGGGTCAGTCAATTTAATCCACAACATAGATATGCACTTATTGTGTTCAGTGGTCGTGTTTCGCTTACACATTTGGTAACTTAGAACAATTGTTTGTACAATTAGAATTTCTTTTGGGGGAGCGATTGATAATTTGATTACTAATGTGATTACTTTGAGTTACTAGTCCCGCTATTGACGAGGCTTAATTGATGTGTTGGTTACTCTTTGTAGAGCGCAGCTCTTAGGCACCCCTTTCCGGCTCGAACGGCGTCGGCGTCGGCGTAACCACGCGGTGCATGATGGGTAAATTCCCCCGCTATATTTAGCGGAAAAATTTTCCCGCTAAATCTAGCGGAAAATTTTCCCCGCTAAATCTAGAGGAAAATATTCACCACTAAATTTAGCGGAAAATTTTCCCCGCTAAATCGAGCGCAAAAGTATCTCCAATATTTAGCGGAAAATTTCCCCCGCTTTTGTTTCGCGGAAACTTTCCCCGCTAAATCTAGCGGAAAATTTTCCCCGCTAAATTTAGCGGAAAATTTTGCCCGTTAAATCTAGCGGAAAATGTTCTCGCTATATTTAGCGGGAAATTTTCCCCTCTAAATCTAGCGGATTTTTTCCAGCTAGATTTAGCGGAAAATTTGCCCCGCTAAGTCAAACGGAAAATTTTCCCCGCTAAATCTAGCAGAAAATATTCCCCGCTATATTTTGCGAAAAATCCCCCCCCCCCCCCGCTAAATCTAGCGGAAAATCTTCCAAGCTAGATTTAGCTGAAAATTTGCCCTAATAAGTCTAGCGGAAAATTTTCCCTGCTAAATCTAGCGGAAAATTTTCCCAGCTAGATTTAGCGGAAAATTTTCCCCGCTAAATCTAGCGGAAAATTTGCCCCGCTTACTCTAGTGGAAAATTTTCCCGCTAAATCTAGCTGGCAAGATTTTCCGCTAGATTTAGCGGGGAACATGTTCCGCTAGATGTAGCGGGGAAAATTTCCCGCTAAATTTAGCGGGGAAATTTTTTGCTAGATCTAGCGGGGAAACTTTTCCGCTAGACTTAGCGGGGCAAATTTCCCGCTAAATCTAGATGGGAAGATATTCCGCTAGATTTAGTGGGGGAAATTTTCCGCTAGATTTAGTGGAGAAAATTTCCCGCTAAATTTAGCGGGAAAGTTTTTCCGCTATATCTAGCGGGGAAAAATTTCCGCTAGACAGCGGGGCTAATTTTGCGCTAAATCTAGCTGGGAAATTTTTCCGACAAATTTAGCGGGGAAAATTTCTCGCTAAATATAGCGGGGAAAATTTTCCGCTAGACTTAGCGGGGAAATTTTTCTCCTAAAATTAGCGGGGGAATTTACCCATCATGCACCGCGTGTTTACGCCGACGCCGCTCAAGTCGGACAAGGGCGCCTAAGAGCTGCGCTTTAAAAATAGTAACCAACACATCAATCAAGCCTCGTTAACAGTGGAACTAGTAACTCAAAGTAATCCCATTAGTGATCCAATTATCAATTGCCGCCCCCCCCCAAATTCTAATTGTATAAACAATTGTTCTAAGTTACCAAATGTTTAAGCAAAACACGACCACTGAACACAATAAGTGCATATATATATTGTGGATTAAATTGACTGACCCCGGGATTAAATTGTGTGGCCCTTGGATTAAATTGTATGGCGCTTGGATTAAATTGAGTGACCCTGGGATTAAATTGGTCGTCACTTGGATTAAAATGAGCGGGAAAACCTGTAGTGCGCCCGACACTGGAATATGCATCGATAATATGGGACCCCTACGCACAAACCCAAATAGATAAAGTGGAGCGCATTCAAAGGCTAGCAGCAAGGTTTATCTTTTCTAAATACGATAGACACGAGTCTGTTTCGGCATTGTTGAGGGAAGCCCAATTATCGTCCTTAGCGTCAAGACGAAGAATTGCGCGGCTGAAGTTTTTTTATTTGTTGTATTTTAAATATCTTCATATTGACACGCAAACTTATATCAGATCTCCTGGAAGACGGTCTCGACGACTAAACAATTATTTGTCAGTTGACCCATTTATGCCCAATATTGACATTTTTAAATATTCGTTTCTTGTCAAAACAATAGAAGAATGGAACAGATTACCCCCAAGTGTTTTTTCGGACGTCACGTCTGTTGAAGAATATGAAGAAAAGTTGATGAACTGGTTTGCTGACGAATAGTTGCACCTGTGAGAATGATTGTTCTATGTATAATTTCTTGTGTCACCTGTATTTTGTTTGATATATTACTGTATCCACTCCTGCTATAACCCGCAAGGGTTGGCAGTATTTGAAATAAATAAATAAATAAAAAAAGTTAGAAAGGCAGAAGAACACAATGAGTACAAAACGGGCGTGACGGTGTTGGTAACAGTATCAAACGTGAGGAACACAGGGAAAGGGACGGACAACCGAAGAGAAATCTGCGCATGGACTTGCACTTGCAGCAGGCCGTGTTGCCGGCAGGTCACCAACAGAAAAATACCGACCGCTTCGGGAATGGCACCGAAACATGCAGGGAGAGTGTCTGTGCGTGGGCTGTGGGAGAGAATGGGGAGATAGGGGAAGGGGGACCTTTCGTCGCGGATGTTGCTCAAGTTTTTCCCTGCCCAATGTTTGCTTGGACGCAAAGCGAACAAGGCCACAGGCCCCCGAGGGAAACCGCCGCAACTCCTTTTTCCCCTTTCCGAGGCGTAGACAAAGCCGGCCGTCCACGCGGTCTCGGTGGTCGACCTTGTGAACCTCTGTAATAGACCCTTTCGAAAGTCACGTGCCGATTATTAATAGGTCGGAACCCCTGCACAATGGCGGAACAACTGCATCGAGGAACGTGCAAGTCATTCCATAAGATAGCGAACGTCGGAGCGCGGCCAACACTACGAGCCGACAAGCTAATCAAAGAGCGTCGAAAGTGCAACGTCACTGCGCTCATCCCCTTTTTTGTGGGTGTGTTTTCTTCAGTGTGCCGTGACGTTGAGGTTTTAGTCCACCATCGTGCAGGCATTTCGCAGCTGCCAACAAAGAGCCGTATTTCGAAAGCCTTTTCGAAAAACACTTGACCCCAGGGGCAACAAACCGTTTTCGAGCCCAGTCACTGAGTTTGAGGCTAGACTCTCACCGGCGGCCCTCCTAACCCTAACCGAGTGGACTGTGATTTCGATAGGCGCAGTTTCAAACGCTGCTGGCGGCTAAATTCTCGTATTTTCCCGCTGTATTTTGTGTTTCATGGTACACGCATTTTCCCGAGGACAATAAAAAAGCAAAAAAAAAAAAAAAAAAGAACTAAAACTAAACTATTTTCGTTGGGTACGCGCGCGACAGAACGAATGTGACTGTTTTTTTTTTTTTTGTTTTTTTCTTATTACGATAAGTTTTGAGGGCGCCGCGGGATTCGCCGCATCTGAAACGACAGAGCGCTTTGCTGTCAAAAATACATTGCAACAGAAGAGGGCTGAAAGGCATGCATTTTTCACGCTCACAAATAACGTGTTTACCGATGGACAGGACATGGACATAAAATTGAGGAAGTGTTAACATTCGAACAATATATCGTGCGTACCACACGATGCAGCGTTATCCGAAAAAAATTTATTTGAGAAAGATCTCAAATAACACAGTCACAGTCGACGACAGTCACATCTTGACAATCGGGCGGAATCCGAGATGACTTCGTTTTGGTGCACGTTTTGGAGAAAGCTTCCTTTTTTCACAACCGCACCAAGGCAAAAAAGAAACAAACGCGACTGACCCGTTTCTCACCCCAACCCGGACAACTATTTTTGGAGATGACTGAGGATTCTACGCGGATTATCTCTGGGAGGGGGGAGAACAATGTTCGCAAAATCGCGTCGAGGGTCGTTCGACGTCCTTCACCTCCTTCGTTTCCCGTGAATGTCGAGCAGAAAAGCTTGAACGGCAGGCACTTACCAGCCTTATTTCTCACAATGGAAGATAAC